TATACATATTCATACAGAGAGAGAGAGAGAGAGAGAGAGAGAGAGAGAGAGAGAGAGAGTGTGTGTGTGTGTGTGTATATATATATATACATACATATGGAGGGCCCATTATTTTGGATCTTGTTGTTGTTTTTTTTTGTTTGGTGTTTTTCCATGGTTTTCCTGGGGAAAACACTATTTTCCTCACGTTTTGGACGGATTTGGTGTGCTTTTCTTGGTTTTTCCACCTGAAACGAAAAGAACCCAGGAAGACAGAACGAAACACCCCAGAACAAGGACCAAAGCAAGGAAGAAGAACAGAAAGAAAGAAAAGAAGTAAGACAGACGGTTGGAAATTCAGGTTCGGAACCCAGATTCACAACACGGATTTTCTTGGGTTGTTGTTTCAGCGGGGTTACACGCGAAGCAACACAATCAATCATGAATGACTTGGAAGCTCTCTTGAGCCACGAAGTAATCAACAATAACGTGTTTGCCAGCCGGTCGTTTGCTACGAAATAAATAAAACCGTGTTCGTCAACACAAAAAAAATGAAGCCAGACAACAATGCTTCAGGGGGTTTTAACGCGAAGAAGACCAAATCAATCCTGAAGGATTTAAAAGGTTTGCAAATGGGGGGGGCTGCGCCCCCCCCAACCCCCCCGCTTTTTTTAGACTAAACTCCCCGCTCTCTAAAGCCACGGAAAATGCACAAAAACGTATCCGCCAACACACAAGCAGGGGAAGCCAGACAATAATGCTTCAGGGGGGTTTAACGCAAAGAAGACAAAATCAATCCTGAAGGATTTAAAAGGATTGCAAATGGGGGGGGCTGCGCCCCCCCCAACCCCCCCGCTTTTTTCAGACTAAATTAACTCCCCGCTCTGTAAGCCCGCGAAGAAATGAACATACACGTATTCGGCAACACACAAGAAGGGGAAAGCCAGACAGCCACGCTCCAGGGGGTTTAACGCGAAGAGCAGCAACAACACGACGACATCAACGACACCACCACCACCAACGACGACAGCAACGACATCAACGACACCACCACCGCCACCAAGGCAAATAGTTTTGGAAATGGCTTCATTTCCTATAATTTAATTTGTTTGTGATGCTCTTTTTTTTAAATCAGTTTTTTGTTGATCCCTGGATTTCATTTGTTGTTGATGATTAGTTTTTTTTGATGCTTCACCCAGGGATCCTGCGCTTCGAAGCGCTGGCGCTGTGGTGCGGCGCCAATTGTCTACGTCCCCGATGAACCCTCCACAGGGATCCTGCCCCTCGAAGCGTTGGCTCTGTGGTGCGGTGCAAATTCTCTACGTCCCCGATGAACCCTCCACAGGGATCCTGCCCCTCGAAGCGTTGGCTCTAGCGCTGGCGCTGTGGTGGGGCGCAAATTCTTTACATCGCCGATGAACCCTCTACAAGGATCCTGGGTGTCCAACCTGAACAAATCCTTGGCCGCACCTCCGAAAAAAGAGGGTTGGCCGCACCTTCGAAAAAAAAAAAAAACCCGCCCTGGGCTATGGAGTGCATGACGAGATCCAACACGCCTTGAACACTTTAACAACTGGGGCTTTGGGGTTTGGGGGTTAGGGTTTTGGGGTTTAGAGGTTAGGGGTTTAAGCTTAGGGTTTAAGGGTTTCGGGGTTAAGGATTACTTTCTACGGAGTAGGATTCATTGTTCGAGGTTTAAGTTTAGAGTTTAGAGTTTTGGGAGTCAGCTTCCACCGAACTGTCCGAGGCGATCGAGAACGATCTCACTTTATATTCCATGCGCCCCTCGCTCGGAAGGGTTTCGGACTCTTACACAGGGAGGAGCTTCAAAGGCCCAATGATAATGAAGCGTTGGGTTTAGGGTTTAGAGCAGTAGTAGTAGTAGTAGAAGTAGTAGTAGTAGTAGTAGTAGTAGTAGTAGTAGTAGGAGTAGGAGTAGGAGTCGGAGTAGGAGTAGTAGTAGTAGTAGTAGTAGTAGTAGTAGTGGTAGTAGTGGTAGTGGTGGTAGTGGTAGTGGTAGTGGTAGTGGTAGTGGTAGTAGCAGTACTAGTAGCAGTAGTAGTAGCAGTAGTAGTAGCAGTAGTAGTAGCAGTAGTAGTAGCAGTAGTAGTAGTAGTAGTAGTAGTAGTAGCAGTAGTAGTATGTGGTTGCAATGCTATGTTATCTATATCCCGAATCCTTATTCTAACAGCGGAGGCAATTATGTTAGCAAGCCCCAGACCCTCACCCTGAACCTGCAAAGCCCCAACAGCATCTCCTTTGGTCATTACATTAGCCAGCAGCTGGTGTACTGCTTGCTATTGCCAGGGGTTGAGTATCATTGCAGCTTTAGTTCCACCAATGATTCGCGACTGCAGTTGCGACTAGTTGCGATCCTTCCTACTATGGAACCAGTACCGCTATCGCAGGGGGCGCCCCTAATCTTGTCACTCACTGCTACACAAGTCCAGCAATGGCTGCAACAAGACTGTGCGTCCCCAAAACCTGACATGTTTATTCGATTAGGGCTAAACCGCCCGTCGAAGCTGAGCACTTGATCTTTGCAAGCAACTCTGGTATGATGTCGTAGGTGCTCCCAACGGCAAGAACCCTTTCGATTCCCCAAGCCTCATCCCCGGACTAGAAAATAACAGGCCCTCACAACAACAGGACCAAGTCAGAGCTGTAGAGACCCAGGCGCGGACTTGACCAAGCCCGCCGTCCTGGTCGACTCTCGCAAGGCGCAACAACAAGGCCGGCTTCCCTAAACAATAAACCCCTAAACTCTAAACCTGGGTGTTTAGTGCCGAAGCTTGGGATTGAGGGGTTCAGGGCTTAGGGATTAAGCTGGGGGTTTTAATATACGGGCCTCAATAATTACCTATTCATTTGGGGTGTTCCGTGTTATAGTTCTAGTATGAGGCACGCAAGACCCTATTCTAATTATCAAGGCCCCTATATGATTGTGAGGGGTTTAGGGCAGGGGGCTTCGTGGCTGCATCCGGCATAATGAACCTCTTGATGACAGCCACCTGCATAAACGGGTAAGCAGGTAGGACAGCCACAATATCTAAACATGTAGATGAAACCGCCTTGACGGTCTCAACAGCTCTCACAGGTACGAATAAAGGAAAAAGCTATTCGCTTGTCTGAATGTTGTGAGCTACGTATGGCAAGCCGCTAAAGCTTGTTGAAGCAAACGGGGCCTCGATATCGTTTCTTTCAGTCTGAACCGACATGCTTTCATAGTATCAAGACTGTATCAAGCATAAGCACGTTTGCCATGTGCATGCATGAGCTCCACGCATTAACACGCATGATCATGACACAGAACACGGACTGTCCCCTTTAGAAGCCTTAAGCTAGAGCTAGAGTGTGGGCTATATAGAGAACCGAGAAGAGTCAAGACTCAATTAGATCGCCGCCCAAAGCTGCCGAAGTTGTTTAGTCAAGCCTCATGAACCGCCAAGCCACAGATGTCAAAGTCGTAGACGACATGCAAAACATTATGAAACATGAATGCCCTAGCAAGACGCCAGCTGACTGCTGCAGACCCCACTACTGGCAGGTGAGGGTGAGAGCGTGCAAGGCTGCCCGTGGCGGGAGGCCGACAGAGACGCCGAAGTCTGCAGTTTAGGACTTGCAAGTTCAGAGGGTATTGCGAGTCAGGATACATACATCAACTGTTCGAGCACACACCTTTCTTCCATATATGTGCAGGAACCTTCTACTTCAAAGGCACCGGTCCAAGAGTATCCTGGATGCTGCGACTTTGAACCACAAGGTATACCCCGAGGCTCATACCCTACCCCTCGTTTTAGGCAACCTAGTCTTAGATATGATTAGGACCTATAAAGAAGTAGGTACCCTAAAAATGGGGTAGGGTATGAGCCTCTAGGTATAGTTGAACCACAGACCTGCAAGCTGAGCCGTTACCTTTGGTTAGTAAGGAATGGAAGAACGGTAGGAATAGTAGTTATAGCTGTACCTCATTCCTCCATTCCCTACTAACCCAAGGTAAGAAAAGTGTTGCTTTGAGGATGTCGGGTCGGCTACTATAGTCAAAGGGGAAAAGGAGGGACCCTTAATTAATGGGGACCCCTACCCTATAAGGGGCTATATCAGCAAGCAGATCCTATCCCCACACCTCACATCCCTATACCCCGCCCTACGCTTTTACCTCAATTCTCAACCCACCTCCCAAAATCAACCTTCCAAAACACCAATACACAAAGCACCTCCCAACACAAAAGCAATAATCCCGAACCAAAGCAACCTACCAAACCAATACAATAATCCAAAACACAACCCAAAACCCAAAGCACCTAAACAAATCCTACCCTAATCCATTCTATAACCAATATCCTAATATGAGCTAAAACAACAACTTAAATCCCTAAACCCCTAAGTCCCTAAACCCTGTGAACCCAAAGCCCTAAACCCTAAATCCTGAACCCCTCAGTCCCTAAACCCTATGAGCCCGAAGCCCTATAAACCCTAAATCCCTAAAGGAGAAAGGGTGCAAACCCTAAACCCTAAACCCTAAACTGCAGTTCAACTCAAAAAAAAAACCCTTAAAGCCCGGAAGCCTAACGTCCGACAGGAGACCTCAGCCAAGGGTCCCTCGCTGCAGAAGATCCGCGACAACTGGAAGGCCCCTTCAACGCACTGGACGGTTTAGGGTTTAGGGTTTAGGGTTTCGGCCCCTTCTTTTCGGGAATTCGGCTGTGGGGGGGGGAGGGGGGGTACTGGAGGTTTAGAGTTTATGGGGCTGTAGGGGTTTAGGGATTTAGGGTTAGGGAATTTAGGGTTGCTTTCATCCTGGGCAGTTCCGGATTTCAAGATGAAGCCTTACAGAGCGATTCGACTCTTGTCCAGACACACGCCTTCGATCTGGGTAAACCTTCAACTTTAGTTAGTCTTCAGTCTGTGCACTTCACACCACCTGCCCGGCCAGAGCTGCGTTCTGGCTCAGGGCTTTGTGGGCTATCTTGTACTTTCACTTGTATCTGGCGGGGATGCCGCTGGGTAGCAAAATCGGCATGGCTTTACCACTGGCACTGTACCGGTGGGTGGATCACCGCCGAGTGGCTCGTGCGATGGCCGTTGCTGTGCTTCTTATGTTCGCTCGCTTGATGCAGAGGATGCAGCAGCGTTTGTGTGGAGTGAGCCGCATGAAGCTTCCTTTGAAGACTCTACTTCCACGAGTACCGACAGCGGCAGCGGAGTCAGCAGCGTGCCAGGTCAATGGTGCAGACGAAGTGGAAGGGAAGGACCCAACAGTCTCATCCGTCATCTACCAGTGCGTTGCGTTCCGCATTGGCGACTTCGTCGCCTATCCGGGCAATCAAGTCGGGCAGATCATCGGCTTCGATGACGATCACGATTTGGTTGTCCGAACTGACCACGGCCGCAAGGCCGTCTGGTACATCAGCAAATGCAGCAAGACCCTCAGCGCAGGGGACAGAGTGCGCTATCCCTGCGGGGAAGTGGGTACCGTGATGGAGTTCGATGAAGATGGAGATCTCTACGTGCATAAAGAAGACGGCACCACCGCAAGGTGGTATGCCAGCAAAACCAAGCGACTCCTCAGTGTGGGAGACAAAGTGCAATATGCTTGTGGAGAGGTGGCCACAGTGACGGGCTTCGATTGTGATGGAGACGTCTTCGTCGTAACGCCCGGTGGGCGCAGAGCCACATGGTTCGCGCAGAAATGCCTGTGATGTTATCGAATCCTGGCATTCCTTCATGTTTTTGTTTTTCATGTTGCATCGAAGTATAGACACCTCCTGCGGCTAAATATAGTAAGATTGATCGTTCTCCTGCATTCGTTTCACCTACCGGGCCTCCGTTTCACAACAGGCTGGACAACCAGAGGCACATATCGCTTGCAAGGCCAGTGAAAGTTGCGGCCGAATGCGTGTCTTGTTGAAGTGCCTTGTGACCGCGCCAGGCAGAGGCTCAATCAGTAGGCTCTTAGTCTCTATCCACAAGAGAGAGCGAGAGAGAGCAGGCCCTAGCAAAGCAAAGAGAGAGAGAGAGAGAGAGAGAGAGCGAGAGAGCGAGAGAGCGAGAGAGCGAGAGAGCTAGCGAGCGACCGGCAAAGAAACAAACTGAAACTTGCATCCCATCCTCTGCGGATGAACGTGATGCTTTAGAAGCTGCCCCCACCCTGGAATAGTGGTATAATCGGAATATAATCGGGCCCTATTATAATCCTTATAGTCACTTTTACAGGGTGGGGGCAGCTTCTAAGTGATGCTTCGTTATTTGTTCAGCGCTGCTGCTTTGCTGGCATGTCTAGGTCACGTACATGCTGGCAGCGACCGTTGCCAATGTCCCTCGGCCGTGTTACTTGGTCTTTGCCTTGCGGCCTGCACAGGTATTGCCACCAGAACCTAACGACGGCAATGTGGCCGACAAGTGGTGCCGGAAACTCGGCCTGGGGCCGTCTGTCATACTTGTAGGAGGCCAAAAGGGGTTTTAGCCTATGGGGGTTTCGTAGGGATTAGGGTTCCCATAATAGGGTTCATATTAAGGATTCCCTACCCCAAGAATCTTAAACCCCCCTTTTGGCCTCCCATGAGTCTGAGGGCTTGGTAGAGTAACATGCGCCTTAATTGGGGATCTAACTACCCAGACGCCCCAAAGTAGTTCCTTTTGGGGGTTCTTATATAGAATTCTATTAAGTAATCCCAAAAAGGTTTCCATGTCCAGACAACCGGCAGCGGCTATCTCGGGCTTGGAGGGTTGGCAGCGTCTAGCGGCGATAGACCCTACACATATATTTTTGGGTATACCGTATACCTCAAAGTACGTACGACTTTCCGAGTAGGCGCAACACAGGTCTGTCCCTCAGCGCTGTACACCTTCCAACACCCCTGCACCCCTGAATCAACCTTCAAGCCTCAACCCTAAACCCTCAACCCTCAACCCCTAAACCCTAAACCCTAAACCCTGACCCTTAAAGCCGCTGAAGCCTGGGCTCTGAAGTTCCAAGGTGTCGTGCAGACTGGCGGTTGCTCAATCTCTGCGAAGGTGAAGTATGGCCCTCAGAATCAGAAATACGCCGAATGTGGGTTTAGTAGGGCCTAGGGTTTAGAGATTATAGTGGGCCCAAGCTTGAATGAGGGTTTGGGGTCGGAGTTGGCGGCTTAAGATTCACAGGCACCGAAGTAATTACGTAGTGGGTGCAAGATGTTTGTGCTTCTTGGAATCTACAATGTTATTCATTCGTTGGTTCCACGAGTTTGGGGCTTTGCAGTGAGATTTTACAACGAGGTAACCTGGCTAAACATGCTTGTAACCCAAGTTCAGATACTTTTCCCCGTGCCTACTGGCACCTACCGATGAACGATTTGGAGTTCCTCGGGAATCAGTCTTTGCGGTCCGTACTCAATAGGGAATGCTCTGAGCCGTCGCGCCCGCCAGCATATATAGTTTTTCGGTGATGGCCTCGTCAATGAAATCCTTCGGGAAGCCCGACGGTCCTGCGGCCTTGACCTCACATCCGCATCTGAAGCTGTGAAAGCTTACCTTGGGTCAGTAGGGAATGGAGGAATGGGGTACAAGTATAAGTACTATTACTACGATTCTTCCATTCCCTACTAACCAAAGGTAAGAAAGGCGAGCCTACGGGTGTGTGGCCGCAGCGGCCGAGGACAATCTCTCGGCTTCTTGGCACGACCAACGGCCAGAGAATCAACCCCCGAGCTTGTCGCGACGCCTTCTCCGACATTCGCAACCCGTCTGAGGCTCTCCTGAAACCCCTACATCTTAAGGGTTCAGGATTGGGGGTTGTCTGCAAACCCTACTTCTTAGCAGAGTAAAGCTGTTTTGGTGCGGAAATCCCTCTCCCAAAGATTAACCTTAAGTTCCCCTGTAAGCAACAGTATCCAAAACCCCGAAGGCTGGAAAGCTTAACCCGTAGTTCCCCTATTGGCAAGTAGAAAATGAAGCCTTGAAGGAAGGTTTCCCTGAACCCTAAACCCTAAAACGTAAGGTAATGGAGCCTTCAAGCCCAAGCCTAACTCAAGTCGGGGCCCCTGGTTTCTACATATTTAGGGGGATCGGAAATGTAGAATGAATGGATGGAAATTCATGCTGGCTGGGAAATGTGGGAGTTTCCGAAAATGGGGGACCCTAATATAGTACCCTGAATAGTAGGATCCTTATTATAAGGACCCCAAAATAAGGTACCCCTAATTTTCCGAACTCCAATGTAGAAACAAGGGCTTCTGCTCTTTTCAGCTTCAGGTTGGGACTTTGAATTGTTCACCCCTCGGGGCAGTGGTACCAGTGGCTCTTGGTGACAAGGCTTGTGGGCTCTGGCTGCCGCTTCGCAAGATTCTGCTTGACCTGCTTGTTTTCCGGCGGCCTGAAACAGATGACGAGATCAACGACAACTCAGTCGATCCGGCAGTAAAGGCTGGTTTCAAGTTCCACATGTCGGTTTTCCCTGCATTTCATCTTGGCTACCCCAACATACATGCAGAATCGATGGGGGTCCGAAGCATTGACATGTAGAATGGAGGGCCCTCGGGGTTTAGTTTCGTCGCCCTGGCGTCGAAATGAATTCCGACACCTGATCTACAAGCCCCTCCCCTCTACATTAGTTGGGCGTAGGACATAGGGTTCCTTTAAGGGTTCTTGGTAAAGGGGTCTATAAGGATTATTATGCGGGGTACTATGGGGGTTTAGTATAGGGGCCTAAGCTCGTAATAACCATATTAGCTCTTGGGCCCTGACTTGCAGCTGTTTGGGCTTTGGCCTCAACCTGAAGCCCCGGGGACCTCTGCCCCCCTCCACCCGAAAGCTGAACAACGTACTCTAATGGTTACTATAAGGATTCTATAAGGGATCTATAGGGGTCTATAGTTTAAGGGTCCATGTACCCCCAAGCTTCTAAAACCAAGTCAGGGCAAAACCACGGACGGAAAGGATGCATGAGTTTCAGAAAGTTAAGAGATGTTCATAGCAGGGCTTCTACACAGCAACATCTGTAGTATAAGTGTTATAAAGACCTTTAAGTTATGAAGACCTCTTTACGTTATAGAGACCTCTTTAAGTTATAAAGACCTTTTTAAGTCAGGGTCGTCCAGTAGCGACTGACAGGTTCTGTGTTGTCGGCGGAGCGGCCGGGGTTCTGATCATGGAGGCGGGGGGTTCAGGGTTTGAGCTTCTGGAGTTGGGGCCAAAAAAGCACAGAAGCATAAGCATTTTATAGGGATATCCCTACCTTATAATGGCTTCATTATAAGGGGCTTTGTATGGGATATCCCTGCCCTAATTGTTGCTTATTTTTGTTTGGGGGGGCCTATGTTCAGGATGCTAAGGGCTCATGCAGGCAGTTTAGGGATATCGGGTTTCTGGGTTCAGACCTTACCCCGGGGGTGGTTGTCAAAATTATGGTCAGTTTTTGGGCCCCCATTGTAATACGGCACCTATTTTTTAGGGTACCCCCAAAAGGGACCATAATTTTGACAACCACTCCTCTGGTCCACTGTATGTTTCAGGGACTGGTCAAGGCTTGCAGCTCACATGTGTTTTTTCCTTTGGCTTCAGAGTCTAGCGTCATTTGTTCAGAAGAGTTGCTTTCCTGCCCCCTGAGAGTTGCAGGACAAAAGAGGCCCAAGCATAGACCACAAGAAGTAGGATCCGTATTCTAAGGGCCAGCGCAGAAGGTAATCTCCACGTTGTATATGACGCCGGCAGGGTGCGCTAAATCTGTTCATTTGTTGGGTCGCCTTGCTGCGGGTACTGTGATTAGCTGATTAGCTGTGGTTCTTGGTTCAGTGCTTTGGCATAGTCCTGGCTTGTTTCCGGTTTTCCCGACTGTGGTCATGGTCGTGACCCGCAGTCTGGTAGCGAAGCATTTGTTTGGGGTAAGATGGAGGCTTTAATAAGTGGAACAGAGCCTTGGGGGTTCGTTTTACGATGATTGTAGTTGGGAATGTAAGGCTGCTGCCCTGCACTGCCCCCTGCCCCCTGATTTCGGAGCCCCCCCCTTTCGGAAGCAAAGAATGGCTTCCCAGAGCCTGCCACAGCCTCTCGAGCCAGTCTCCCCATCTGTGAGCAACCTGACAGGGTCCGAGGGGCCAAGTGTTTGTTGGAAACGTTTTCTTCTCGTCGAGCGGCCGGCACAGGCCGCGAGGACCTACAACCCCATACCAACCCATCTCAGCTGTGTTTTGATTTTATGTGGTCATTTAATGCAGAGCTGCGAAGGGAAGCAAAGAGCCAGAAAGCCCCCCCCAGGGGTTTGGGGGGGTGAACCCGGGCCTAAACCCTAATCGAGAATAGCTGGGGTGGTTGGGGCGGGATTACATGCTGATGCAAGCGCGCGATAAGTGGGTGCGCCCTATTCCTAAAGTAAAAAGCGCACCCACCGCGCGCACACTGTACTTGCATTACGTTCACTAAGCCCCAAAAATGCGTTTGCATTAGATGTAGCCCTCAGCAGGACCCCTAATGTCGACTGTTACAGGGTGGGGGCGATACCCTACCCGCAACCCAAACCCTAAACCCTGAAGCCCAAAACCCTCAACTTCTAACCCGCAAAGCCCAAAACCCTCAAACCCCAAAATCCAAGACCTTAAACCCTAAACCCCAAAACACCAAACCCCACCCCTAAGCCCAAAACCCCACAGCCCTAACCCCCAAACCCTTAAAACCCTAAACCCTAAAACCCGGCTGTTTCCTGGCCGTAGCGGCCTCCCGGGAC